CTCCTGGCATTGTTGGCCTTGGCAGCTCTCCAAAGTCTGCAGTTTTTCCTGGTTTTTCTTGCTCTCTGGGGTCTCTAGTCTGGCACAGTTTCTCAGTCGCCACCGAAGCAGAAACTGTTTTCTGCAAGTCTTTAAACCCAATGAGGAGGACCTGGAGAGAGAACCCATCACAAAAAAGACAAAAGAGCTCAGAGCCACAGTAGGAGCAACTTAAGAATCCTCCTACCATCTTCCAGCAGAGAGGAAGCTGCTAGGTAGTCACTCTGTTTTTAAAGACAGGGTTTCTCTGCGTAGTCCTGGCTGTCCTGGAACTTGCTCTGTAGACCAGGCTGGCCTTGAACTGAGAGCTCCACCTGCCTCTGCCTCCCAAGTGCTAGGATTAAAGGTGTGTGGCACCACATCCAGCCTAACTCTGTTTTTAAAGTGGGTATTAGAATCTAAACTTGGGTTCTCATGCTTGTACAGCAAGCACTCTTATCCACTGAGCCATCTCTCTAGCTCCAGTTTTTATTCAAATATAAATTAAACTTAATTTATTTTATTTTTCGGGTTTTCGAGTCAGGGTTTCTCTGTGTAACAGTTCTGGCTGTCCTGAAACTCACTCGGTAGACCAGGCTGGCCTCAAACTCACAGAGATCCCCCTGCCTCTACTTCCTGAGTGCTGGCATTGAAGGCATGCACCACTGATGCCTGGCTAATTTATTTAATTTTCAATAACAGGAGTGTGTCCTTATCCCCATTTTATGGTTGAGGAAACAAATTCAGAATGGTTACTTTTTTTAGAGTCACTTGGCAGCTTAGTAGGTAAGAGGATTCTCTTCCAAAGTTGACAGTTTCAACCTCTGGGTTATTTACCTTGCAGTTAATTAATTCAGTTTAAAGAGATAGTGAAACCCGGAAACTGCTGGTAGACCCAATTCAATGATGATATGCAGTTTACAGCTTCTGAGTTGAGCATGGACTTAAGTATTGGTGAGATTTCATGTGGGGTCTAGTTTGACATTACTGACATTTTGCCCAACCTGGCACAAATGCCAATAGGGTAAACAAAACCATTATGATAGCCAGTCCAAACCCAGTGTGGTGGCTCACACCTGTAATCCTAGTACTTGCTCAAGCAGAGGGGTTGCCACATGGGTTGTGGGAATTAAACTCAGGTCTCTGGAAGAGCAGTTCATGCTCCTAACCACTGAACTGTCTCTCCAGCCCCAAGGTTTATTTATTTAGTTCACAGGGATTTTTGTTTGGTTTTTGGTGATGGTGCTTGGTTTGAGCCCAGGACCTCCTAGGTGCTAGGTAAGTACTTTGCTGTGCTTCCTCTCAGCCCATCTGCCACATCTCCTCTGCTGCTGGCAGCAGCATTATGACCATATGTGCCATGGGAAATCTGTCTCTGGGGTTCAGGAGTCCAGTCTGCCAAGTTACTGCTTGACCAGTAACAGGGTACTGGTATAATTAGCCAACATTCAGCTTGTCATTAAGACCTGGCAGTGTTAGAATGGCAAGATAGATGAAGGTTAATATTTAGTTTTATATCAGGATTAGCAGTTTCAAAAAAGTTTGTTTAGCTTTTTAAAAGGTGGAAAAGAAAGTTAGATGCAAGAGGGTATTTTTAAAATGAAGCTGGGTTGAGCCATACACCTTTAATTCCAGCACTGGGGAGGCAAAGGCAGGCAGATTGCTTGAGTTCAAGACTAGTCTGGTGTACATAGTTCTAGGACAGCTGAGACTGCATAGTGCTCATAGTGAGGTGGACAGGTAGGTAGGCAGGACTCTTCTAAGTCTTAGCAGCCCCTATAATAGTGGCTCTTGGCCTTTTTCTGTAAAATAGGGATTATAATTATAGTAAAACCTCTTTTATCAAAGACTCTGAAGTCTTAGGTTTCTTCTTTACTTAGGTGTGTGTAGGAGGGAAGTATGGGGCGAGCATGTCACTTGGCGCTGTACCCCTACTGACTCCTGGGCTCAGTGATGCTCTAAGTCACTGAGCATGGGCCAGTTGGCTTCTTAAATCTCTTGGTTCATTACAAGGCTTGTCCTTCAGACAGCTTCCGTGCCAGAGGATGTGCTCACTTAAGCTGTGGCAAGTGCTTGTCCTAAGGCCATAGTTAGATAGATGGTTCCTGTGCACCTGGGACAGAGGAACAAAGCCATGGGCTTTTTGCCACCTACACTATTCTTACATCCTCTGATCTGTAACATTGCAGCTTTGCTCTGAGCCCAGGGTTCGATTTCTCTGCTTCCTTGTTTGTCCTATGCCAGCTCTTGGGTAGTCATCACTAAGCTGACCTCCAATCTCTTCCTTTCATGATGCTGGACGTGAACCCATGGCTTCATACATGAGGAACAGGCACTTAGCCACTGAGCTACACTCCCAGCTCTGGCTTTCACTAAGTTAGTCCATGATACTGCTCTGTAACTGATGGGTGTGCCAGGAAGGGTAAAAGGGATTGACAAGACTATCTGGAGCTGGATCATTTGTCCTCTTTTGGGGGGTAGGGTTAGCACAGTCTTCAGTTCAGTAGCTTGACTTCATTTCTCCTTGTATTGCTTCTCCCAGCATCAGTTATTGGGCCAGAACGCAGGACCATTCTCATCCCCACGTGGAGTATTGTTGTCCTGCTGGGAACATCATTTTCTTGAGTATGTTTGTTCTAACTGCAAATTAGCAAGATACTTCCAGAAAGCCTGCTTAGAGAGGTGTTTGGGGTAGGATGTTGAAACAAGCACAAATTACCAACCATTTTTTTGTTGTTGTTGTTGTTGAGACAGGGTTCTGCTGTGTAGCCCAGGCTGGTCTTTAGCTTGCAGTACTCCTGAATCAGCCCTTGAGTGCTGGGATTAATGCATGTACTGTCCACTGGACTTGTGTTTTGCCATTCAATAGACAGAGCCATTCCATGGGAGGGCTCCAGAAGCTAGAGCATAGTAAATAAACTTTGACTCTTACAGACTATGGAAGGACCTGTGGGTGTTTGAATTCAAGAACGACTCTTGGAGTAGCCCCAGGACACAGCCTGCTACTTTAAAAAATGAGGTTACCCAATCTCCAGTGATCTTCCAGACCATAAAATGATGCCCACAGCTGCAAACTCCTGACCATGATACCCAGGTGGCCTTGGTGATTCTGAATGTTGGGGTTCAGCTGGCCTTTCTGCCTGTCTGCCTTCTTCCTTCCTTGTGTATAGGTATTTTATATACATGGATGTCTGTGCATGTGGGCATCTGGTACCCAAAGACCAGAAGAGGATGTTGGCTCCCTTGGAACTGGAGTTACAGAGGTAGTTAGCCTCCTTGTGGGTGCTGGTAACCAAACCCAAAACCTCTGGAAGAGTAGCAATGCTCTTAACTGCTGACCTATCTCTCTAGATCTGACTTTGGCTGACTTTAAAGATGTGTCAGGAGGGAAAGACAAGGCAAGAGGAGAAACATCAAATAACGTGTGTGTGTGTGTGTGTGTGTGTGTGTGTGTGTGTGTGTGCGCGCGCGCGTGCATGCATGTGCATAAATGATGTATGTATGCATGTGTACATGTACTCAAATATGTGTGGAGGTCAGAGGTCAGGTTCAGTTCCTCAGTTGCCATCTAACTTGTTTTATTTTTTGAGAAAGTCTCTCTTGGCCTGGAGCTTCTCCAGGCTAAGTTGACTGCCTATTATACCAGGGATCTGCTATCTCTGCCCCTTTCAGCTCTAGGTTAAAAGTGCTCCCAGTTCACCCAGCTTTTTAATGTGGGTACTGGTCACTGAAGTCAAAGTTTTTGTGCTTTCCTAACTCCTTGTTCCCTTGTCTTCTATTATTTTAATTTCTAGGGTTTTTTTTTTTTTGTTTTGTTTTGTTTTTGTTTTTAATTTGTTTATGTGACTGTGGTGTGTGTGATGTGCTTGGGGAGGTCAGAGGACAACTGATTGATTCTCTCCTGTATGGATTCTGGATTCTATAAAACTCAGGTTATTAGGAGTAGTGGCAAGTTCCTTTACCTGCTGAATCATCTTACCAGCCTCTTTGGTGTTTTGATACAGTTTCATGTAGCCCAGGCTGGTCTTGAGGCTCACCACTAACTCCTGATCTTCTGCCTCATCTGTCATGGGATGGAATTACCAGCATGTACCACCATGTTGAGTTTTAATCTTCAGACAGCAAGAGAAACTAAACAAAGCAAGATAGGTTTGCTGGGTTAGTCTGGATGCTGAGCCCCTGGCGCACTGATCCACAGAGGCTCTGGCAGAGGCCGAGCTGCAAACCCAGAGTCTCAAGAGGCTTTGAGCACCCAGAGAGCCTTCCCCAGGCAAGACAGGGATGCTAATTGGCCTCTGAGTGAGCAAGGCTGCTGCTGAGCTCCATCCCTTGATAAATGTCCTCCCCTGGCAGTCTTTTTAATATTTAAAAATAAAGTACCAAATCTATTACAGCCACTGTAATTTAATTTTTACTGCATTTCAGAACTATATGGTCCACAGCATGGCATCAGTGCAGGCAGAGTTTTAACTGCTATTTACTTATTTATTTTTAATTGTTGTATGTGGTGCCTTGAATGAGAGTAACAGTAAAATTAACTTGTGTTCAGGTATACCTTAGAAATGTGACTTTGTTGTCCCTCCTCCCTGTCTCTACCTTTCTTCCAGAGTGCATGCTTTGCTGTGGTGAAGTGTTGATTTCTGAAATCTTGGTCTGGGGTCTTTCAGTCCAAGATATGTAGCAGGAGCATTGTCTGGGGTCATGGATGACCCTACAGAGTTGCTTGTAGACTCTCGTTACAGGTGTTGGAATGGCAAGAACAGAAATGGCCAAGCGCACACCCCCACACCCCCCACACCTCCTGTCAGGTGTGTGTGCAGTATCTGTGTTTTGAGACAAGGGCTGGTGGTCTTAAAGATCTTTTTTTTTTTTTTTTTTTTTTTTACGAAAAGAGCTGACAATTTTAGTTTCATTTTTCACAATGTAAGTGAGAACTGCACTTTTTTAAATCCCACTTCTCCCCTCCACAACTATTCTCTATTAGGAAGGGGGAATTCTTCCCTGTCATGCAGCTGGAAAACACTCAAGCTCAGCACCATAATCTGGTGAAATAAAACAAGAAATACAAAACTGATACAGAGCCTTTCTGCTCTTATCTGTCTGGCCGAGTCATGCCGGGCTGAGTGGGCACCATCATAGGGCGAGCAGGAGGTCTCATCATTGGCGGCCCAGGCATCATGGGCATGTGACCACCCATGGGAGGCCTCATTCCAGGAGCAGGTCCTACAGGCATCATCCCAGGAGGAGGGGGGCCCATCATCGGCATCATGGGAGGGCCTCCCATGTGGGGTGCAGGTATCATACCAGGGCGAGGAGGACCCGGGAGACTGGGGGGAGGTGGGATCATGGCCCCGGCAGGAGGAGGAGCAGAGAATGGAGCTGGAGGGATCTTCCCTTGTTGAAATGCAGCCGTTGTTTTGTCAATTAGGCTCTGAGCCTGCTCTTCCATCCATTTCTGATAGTAGTCTTGTACATTCTCTTTGTGTTTCCGACCACTGCAGTGTGTCTTCCTCACAGATGGAGAATCATGGGTAAGATACATATCACAGTAGTCACAATAAAACTTGGGCATGTTGCTACCTTTGGTCTTAAAGATCTTGCTGCAGAGCCAAGGATGGTGTTGAGCCCTTAGTCTTCCTGCCTTCATGTGCTAAACTCTAGACTTGCAGGCAGGCACACACCACAGTACCTACAAGCTTCATGAACTCTCTTCTAAATCATGCCAAACACAAAAATTTGGACCTAAGATTAATTTTACCTTTAATCATGTGTGTATATTTGTGTGTATGCTACATGTGGGTTACCCCTGGAGGCCAGGGTGTCAGTCTCTGGAGCTAGAGTTACAGGCATTTGAAAGCCACCTGAGGTGTGAGTCCTGAGAATTGAGCTCAGGTCCTTCTGGAAGAATAATACACACTCTGAACCCCTGAACCATCTTCAGCCCAGTAAATGGTATTCTTGATCCTATAAAGCAAATAATGGCTTGGGGAATATGGGATAGCCACTGGATGCTTTAACTTCATACACAGTCAAACTGGGGGCTGTGTCCTTGAATTATGGTCCTTGATTTGTTTACAGAATTCTTAGTTTTAATATATTTTGACTTAGGTTTAGTTTGCAATTGAGAATATCCAAAATCAAACTTCTGTAACTTTTCTTTGACAGAATCTTATTATGCAGCCCTGACTGGCTTAGAACTCACAGAGACCTACCTGGTTCTGCCTCCCAAGTGCTGGGGTTAAAAGAACCACTACACCAGCTACTCTTAGCTTTGTTGGCTATTCTTTTGTCATGGAGCAAACAATTGGCTCCTCGGCTCCTGTGGACTTGGTTCATCAGAAATGACTTTACTACCTGTACATCACAAGGCCAAAGGGGAAGTTAATGGCTGAACATTCTGGGTCAAGTGAAGAAGAACAACATAGGAGAGGAGTACAAGCTGTCCTCTGCGGCCTCTAACCTCTGTATGGGCTACAGGCAGGCTGTAGCTGCAGCCTAGTGTCTGAACTGGAAGGAGGACTCTGCCCTCAGACTTCTCTGGAAAGCCTTGCTTTACTTGCTGTGTGTGCCTCAGACTGGGCAGTTTTTAGTGTTTTCTCTGGATCTTTGACTATTTGATGAAAGCTTGATACTTACCTCAAATGTTTGGCAAGTTGGGTGTTAATATGAACTGGAATGATGGCTTCTTAGAAACTGAAATTCACAAAGAATGGCTAACCCCACTAATCTGCTAGGATCTTCCAGGCTAACAGTAATGCGATTACAGTATCATCCTCACTAGACACACAGAGAGATGGCCTTCCAAAAGAGGGTTAGTGAAGAGGCTGCATCGAAGATGTTTGGAACCTGGGTGGGGGGCTGAGGAGGAAGGATACAAGCTCAAGGCCAGCCTAGGTTGCAGTGAGATGTATCACTTAAGAAAAAGAAGACATTTGATTTGGACTATATGCCAGAGAGCAGAAAATTGGTGAAGTTTAACACAGCACCCTTTTATCATACAATAGCTTTCCCATAGGATTGGAGAAATGGTTTATTGCAACAAAGAAAAGGAAATAAAGTTTTGTTCTGTTGTCTTTTGAGACAGGGTCTCATGTAGTCCAGGCTAGCCTCCAAACTTGGTTGTAGCCTTGACTTTCTGGTCCTCCCACCTGTACATTGTAAGTGCCAAGGTTATAGGTGTGCTCGATCCACCACCCAAAGCCAGAGGAAGATTCTTGCCCCTGTTGTGTGAGCCATTTGTGTGGTTAAATACAACTCTCAGGACAGGAGTGCTGGTGCCTTTGTCAGTACCTCAGTTCTTGGTTTCTGTAGATAGTTCTGATTCTGGGACACTCTTCTGGGCTTCAAGACAAGGGAAGTTTGAGAATGTGATGTCCCTTGTTGACCTTTGTAAAGCAGAGGTCATTCAAATACAGCAACCTCAAGTGGTCATAGCAGTGTTCTGTGTGCCAGCCTGCATTTCACTCAAGGGCAAGGTGGCTCTTCATGAAGCAGGCATGGCCATGGTAGGTATGCCGACTGGAAAGACTGGAAATAGGAGTGGTCAGTTCAGCACTGGGATGGAGGGGCATCAGGAAAGGTAAGAACTCATGAGCAGCAGTGTTAGCACAGCAGGAACCTGATACCATAGGACAGACCAAGGCTGAAATGGGAAAGAGGAAGGTTGCACCTCTCACAGTATCTTTTCTTCCACATTACCCAGTCCAGTGCACAGTGGGTGCTGGACAACATGTCTGTGATGCTGATAGTGTCTGAAGCTTGTGTGTAGTTTCTTCTGGCCCAGGGTTCCCTTTTGGTCATGTGGTGTGAGATTTGGGAATCTTTGCTGAACTCTCTGTAGGGCATATACCTGGTGTAGGCACTTGTAAGGTTGGTCAGTGTCATGCTATTCATAATTAAAAATTTGAAGTTGCAATTAGAATTTATATTCCTGCCTATATAAATGTGCAAACAACTCAAATTCCCATAAAGACAGTGAGAGTGGAAGCTGTGGCTTACCTGCCTGCTCTGTGCTGTCTAGTGAGCTTTGTTTAGACATGTGTTTACAATCTAATCATGTACCGTTTAATACAGATTTTTAAAAGACTGGCAGGTTTGTAGGATTGTTTTCAAGACACTGTATGACTGTTGATTTTGCCACTTTTTTATTTTATTTTTTCAAGACAGGGCTTCTCTGTAGCTTTGGAGCCTGCCCTGGAACTTGCTCTGTAGAGCAGACTGGCCTCAAATTCACAGAGATCTTCCTGCCTCTGCCTCCCAAATACTGGGATTAAAGGTGTGCGCCACCACTGCCTGACCTTCTTTTTTTTTCAACTTGGAAATAAGTTGACTGGAAGCAGTCTGTGATGGGCTAAATGGCTGTTGTACCAGGGATGGCATGGCCTTTGAGAGCAAGGCAGTTCTTCCCAGAGTCAGCTTGAAATGAAAACCTTTGTCTTTTGTCCTTTGTCCTATGTGGGATCCTACTTCCAGTTTCCTTAAACATTTTCTGCTGCTCAAAAGCATTTAAAAGGATGTGACAGTGTGGACCTGCAAATTCTTCTTACATTCTAGAGAAAAGAAATGTAGCTTTAAAAAAAAAAAAAAAAAAGATTTTATTGTGTGTAAATATCTGTGTGTGTTTGAGAAGATCTCACTACTCTGGTTGTCCTGGAACTGGCTCTGTAGACCAGACTGGTTGCAGACTATCAGAGCTGCCTCTGCCTTGAGTGCTGGGATTGAATGCGTGTGCACATGTGTATGCAGGCATATGTACATGCATGTCATGTTGGTGCCCAGTACTGAAAATGACCCTGACAGTAAAAATATCACATCAAAGAAAGAAAAGAGGATGCCTTTGGGCACTTGGGAGACCTGGGTCCCAGAGACCAAGCCCTGTTGTGAAATCTGACTTCACAGGGTCAGATGACTTAGGCAGACCTCTGTTCCTGCTTCTGTGGCTCAGAGGCGACTGAATGTCAGTGACCCGAGGGGTCTCTCTCTCTCTCTCTCTCTCTCTCTCTCTCTCTCTCTCTTCTTCCCTTCCTCCATCCTTCCCTCCCTCCCCCTACTTCCCTCTCTCCCTTTCTCCCCTCTCTCTCTAATCTCTGGTGGTTAGGGCAGGATTCAGCTATTCATAAACTTACCAGATATTGGTATGGAAGTTTTGCAGCTTCAGATATTCCACCCAGCATACTGCGAGTCACACCATGGTTCTTCTGACACATGTGCTTTGAATCTCTGTGTTCACTCCTTGTGTCCTCCACAATGTAGGTCTTGGAGATCAAACTCAGATTGTTAGATTTGGCTTTTACCCATTTCCCCAACTCACAGACCAAGACTGAGTCTTACTTCTGTGTAGACCAGCTGGCCTTGAATTGGGGACTGGCTTCCTGCTTCTGCCTCCCACACACAAGCATTGCAGTCCTGTACTATTGCAGTTTATGTACTTTAGAGGCAGAATCTCACTTCATTGCCAAGGGTGACCCAAAAGTCACTAGGTAGACCAAGCTGGCCTCTCTGTGCTTCAGCCTTCCACACAAAGCTTTATGGGAACAAGCCCACAGGCTTGGCTTTGGAACCTTGCTTGGTGTTTGGGTGGGGGCTTTACTTGTTTGAGCATTTCCCATTAGGTGACTTTCTGGAAGTCTAGTCCTGGACCTTTTCTTCAGTACCCTGGCTTTCAGAGTGGTGTTTACACCACGTGTAGCACAGAAGTTCCTATGATTGTTCTCTTTCTCCAGCTCCCTACTGTGCTGAGCTCTGTTTCCTAGATGCTTTAGCTTTCTAGGCACACTGACATTGCACAGGTCTACAACAAACACTTCAGCACATTTGTTCTTGGTCCCCTTTTTCCTTGTGGGTTCATTATATCACATTATTTTACTTCCCAAACTGATAGTTTTATGGGGGGTTTTTCTGTGTCATAGTCTAACTAGTCTGTGTTCAAGAGGAAACTGCAGGTTGATTAGAACCCAGGAGGAGAGAGGAGATGCCAGCTCTGTGCCTGGAAGCACTCTGGGGAAGCCATGGCTGCAAGGAAAAGCTTATTTGTCTTATCTGTATCATGGTTTTAAGAGATTCCTCAATCTAGACATGGGGCTGGGTAATAATTACAGTGTCATCAGCAAGGCTGATTTGTCCTGTTTCTTTAACAACTTGCACACTGTGGCTGCATTTCTAAGCAGGTGCCTGTTCTGTGTTGGCTCAGCCTCCCCCACCCCTCATGCTCCCCAGGGGCCTGATGCTTCTCACAGAAGTCTAAAGTCTGTGGAAGCACATGCTGACACCATGGAGACCTTCTCAGTTGGATATCAAGCTAAAATTGGTTTTTCACTGCAGTTCAGCCATGGTACTGGAAAGTACTACTTGTCAAAGCCAGGCTCATTACAGTGTTCCAGAACACCTGGGATTTTTTACTTCACTAACCAATGCCCCAGAGGTGATTTGAAACAAAAAGTGTTGACACTTCATGGAAAAAGGGTCAGGATGGCATCTACCTCATAAAGATGCAGTTCTGAGTGAGTGTTTAGACTAGTCATGTCTGCTGGGACACTAGCTCATGTGTCATGTGGCTAAGTTTAGTAATGACTTTCTAGGGACATTCATAAATTCCTAAATACAGTTCATCTCGGTGACCCTTGGTCACTTGCACATTTAACAAAAGGGTAGGAGGGACACTTGTAAAGTCCTATAGAGTCTGTCACTGTTGGTCACTTGTGCATGTAACAGAAGGGAACTTAGCAATTAATAAGATTATGGGTATCTTGCCTCCAGCAAGTGTAGTAAAAATTAATAACACACTGTGGCTGATATCCAGTGACTGTACCCAAGTGATAGTAGGTTTATTACCAGAAATAGCCTCAAACAGAATCTCCCACAGCCAAATCTACAGAGAACCTGTTGATATTCCAGGTGACCTGTCAGTGTCAGGCGCTGCTTTGGGGAGTAGCAGGTTTGAGCTGTCTGTTTGGAAGCCCTCTGAAGGGGGCTCAAGTTGGCAGCGTTTAGGTAGCAGGTGAACAGCTGCATGTGGACATCTCTGTCACTGTGGGTACCAGTACCATCAACATGGTCAGCTGGCTCTGTAGCACACCATGGTGGAGGCTGAGACATGAGGAAGATACACATGGAAGTGGGGTTGAATAGGAAATAGTCACTGGTGAACATTTTGTACTCAGTCCAAAGGAGAATTTGCTTTGCAGATGGCAATGTCTTACAGATTGCCTGTGTTCTTGGAAATCATTGTTTCTGGGTGGGGCTTCTTAGATGGTACTGATTTCAGGCAGGCTGAGTCTGACAATTTCCCGTTGTTTGACAACATTTGCCTTCTTGGTCTTTTATGTTTTTCAGGGTTGAGCATGTTTCTGTGGTTAAACAGAAAGGCTTTAGTGGTGTGTGTCTGTGAATTTTTTTTTCTTTCTTTCCTCCTTTCTTTCTTCCTTTCTTTCTCTCTTAAGATTTTTAAAATTTCTTTTATGCCTGAGTGCTCTATCTGCATGTACAACTTTATGTCAGAAGAGGGCATCAGATCTCACTGTAGATGGTTGTGAGGCACAATGTGGGTGCTGGGAATTGAACTCAGGACCTCTGGAAGAGCAGCCAGTATGCTCTTAACTGCTGAGCCATTTCTCCAGCCCATTGTGTGAATTTCTTAGTAAAATGACAAGACTCATGCACAAAACAGTGTTCACAGATTATTAATAAAACAGATTACATTTTTAATTAGAACTTATTGGCTGCTGGTGGTGGCTGTACATGCTTTTAATCCTAGCACTTGAGTGGGGGAGGCAAGTGGATCTCTGTGAGTTTGAGGCCAGGCCAGTTCTACAGCAAGTTCCAGCACATCTAGGGCTACACAAAGAAAACCTGTTTAAAAAACAAACAAACAAACAAAAAAAAAAACAAAAACAAAAATTGCTTATGGGGTGTGATAGTTTTCAAGAGTCAGGTCTCCTTCCACTTGAATCCTAGACTCAGGTGGTTGAGATCGCCTGGAAGCACCTTCATCCATTGAGTCATCTTGACCCCAAAGGCAAGCTGAAAAGTGGACCTAACTGCAAGAGTCAGAAGCAAGCTGAGCACTAACCAGCACTCACAGGGTTTCTCCTAGCTGCTTCACTCTTGGACTCCTTTCTGCCTAAGGTTTTTTTTTTGTCAGGGTATTTTTTTTTTTTTTTTTTTTTTTTTTTTTATCACATCAGGAGAAACAACTGGGGCAGAAAGGGAAGGCTGGCGTTGAAGGCTCCCTGCTGAACTCTGTGTTGACCCAGGTTTGAAGGTTTCCTGAGACTTTGTACAACATGAGAGCAGACCACTGTGTATCAGTTGCAGCCCCATGGAAGCAGGAGGATGTGTGTGCCTAGGATTAGAAAGATCCAACTGACAGTTTTGTGCAAGAGAAGAACACTGACTCTGTCCTAGTAACTTTTTTTTTTTTTTAAGCACATGGCTCCTTTGTGATGGCACGATGGAGAAGGATACCAAAAACTTAGTTGTAAGAGAAAGTTGTATCTGGGGAAGATGGAACAGATCTATAATCCCAGCATTTGGGCGGAGGGCAGGAGAGTTGTGAGGTCAAGGCTCAGTTGTTAAAGTGCTTGTTCCAAAGAGCCCGAGTTCCATCCATAGCTCTTGCGTGAAAATGCTAGGCATGGTGCCTTGTGCCTGTGATCCCAGCACTGGGGCAGTGGAGATTTGACAGTCCCTGGTACTCACTGACCAGCCAGTCTTGCTTAGTTTGTAGGCTTCAAGCCAAAAGGAAGCCCTGTTTCAAAGGAGGCAGATGACATTCCTGAAGCTAATACCCAAGGTTGCCCTCTAGCCTTCACACACATGCACCATACAGGTATACATACCCACCAGCACCCATGGAATGAAGAGCAGCTTGCTTGCTTGTTTTTACAGTGATTTCCAACAGCTGGTGTAGAAATGAAGGAAGACCAGGTTATGGGAACACAGAACAGTGTAATCTGATAGGAAATTTAAAGTCTCATTTTTAATGGATGAACTGTGCCCCCACACTGCACTGCAAGTTGGAAATAGAAAATGTCTTGTGTACAAGCTTCTCAGGGGTACATCTTAAAGACTCAGAAGTTCATGTCAGTGGTGATGGTGCTCACCTTTAATCCCAGCATTTGGGAGGCAGAGGTAGATGGATCTCTATGAGTTTGAGGGCAGCCCAGGAGGCCAGTCTACAGAGCAAGTTCAAGACAGCCATGGCTACACAGAGAGACCCAGTCTCAAAAAACTAAAATAAATAAATAAATAAACTAATTAATTAATTAATTAATTCTGAGGTTCTCTGTCTCCTGGAGAACAAGCCCTATGTCTTTTCTGTTCTTAAGAGGGTGGGGTGGGTGTGCATATGTCTTCCAGCACAGACTTCTATTGGATACTGTGGGCTCCGTTCTGAAGGTGTCCTCAGTATGGATCTATCTTGTTTTGGATGCCTGGGGTCTCCACACTGAGCCATCCAGCCACTTTTCTCCCCACTCCCAGTGTAACATCAGATTCCATGGCTGGAATGGAGTGAATTGCCATTATCCCTTTAGTTGTTACTGCTCATTATGTATGAGACACGGTGATAACAACATGTCACCAAGATATAACTTGTTGAGCCAGAATTGACAGCCCAAAGCCATGTATACTGAGCACAGAGGAGTGCCAAGACAGTAAGCCCTGTACTGCAGCCTGAGGCCATGTTGGAGGCCAGCCACACATTAAAGATTCCACCTTAGGAAATGGTCCACCCTTGTAAGGCAGTCCTTTCCTTGTGAGAGGGAGTGAGTCATGGCGTGGCTGGCCAGGAAAGAGGGTATTATGGTTTCTGGGATGTAACTCCCTCCTGGAGAGACCGAAGACACAGCCACACCAGCTCAAGGTGACAGTGGCTGGCCCATCAACTACTCATTTGCTCACAGAATATTTTAGTTTGCTCACATTACCTGAAGAGCCTGGCATGTTGGCAGGCTGGGTGAGGCATCTTAGCCCACTGTTCTACAAAGGTGTTGGGACACAGCTTTCAGCACCTGGGGGAGCAGAGTGGCCTGTAGCTTCATTCTGAGTGTCACCAAATGTAAAGTAGATGTAGTGAGAGCAAGGATCTTTGCAAGTGTTTCCATTGGTCTGTAAAGGTCCTTCTGATTGTCACTGTGCTAGAGGGCACTATGAAGGCTCACACACCAGGTGGGATAAAACTGCAGTTTATGCTTTTCTACAACTACTTGGTGTAAGGATTCAGGCATTATGGTGCCCTGCCCCTGTTCCCTGGCAGAATGCACTCAGGCAGTATTCTGGTCGGCCCAGGTACAAAGAACCCCTTTAAAAGAAAGACCTCTCTTTTCCTCTCTCTTTCCTTGGAGCCTGTCCTGGAACTAGTTCTTGCAGACCAAGCTGGACTTGAACTCACAGAGTTTGGCCTGTCTCAGCCTCCCGAATGCTAGGGTAAAGGCATCCACCACCAACGCCCTGCTCCTATCTCCCTCTTCTATCTTCTCTGTGTCTCTTTACCTCTTTTTTCTTTCCTTCTTCCTATCCTCCCCTTTCCAATAAAATTTCTCACATAAGCCCTGTCTGCCTGGCATGTTTGTCCTTCCACCTCGGTCAACCTCACCCAACATGGAGTCCACCAAGGTCCCCCTTGCACTTTATCATAACACTTGGGATTGGCTGAAATTCCCCTGAGCCCTACTAGCCACCCAAGAACTGTGAGTGTCCCCAATCCAGGGTGGAAAATAGAGATGAGACCAGAAGGCTTTAGAGCTGAAGGTCTAAAAAGGAACAAAAGTTGTGTGATAGGAACTCCTACTCCTGCTTCTTACTCAGCTCTCTTCTACCCTCTTCCACAGTGAATACCTACCTCTTCATGGTGCAGGCTCAGGGCATCTTGCTTCGGGACAATGTGAGGACCATTGGTGCCCAGGTGTATGAGCAGGTGGTCCGCAGCGCCTATGCCAAGAGGAACAGCAGCCTGAATGACTCAGGTAAGCGCTCATGAAGAGGGCCTCTTCTCCCAAGAGAGGCAGGGAGGCTGAGTAATTACCTCCTAAAGAGAGTGTGTTGAGAGAAGGGCTGGTCAGGAGTCATCACTCCTGCTCAGGGCGTGTTAAGGCAGCTAGAAGGCTGCATCTTCATTCTGAACTCAAGGTTGTCTTTCAGAACATGGCTTTTTGTTATGTTTTTGAGACAATGTTTTCCTGTGTACTCCTAGCTGGACCTACCTCTGTTTCTCAAGTGCTGGGATTAAAGGTGTTCATCATTACACCCACCCTTATTTTTTACATTTGGGGCATGAATATGTCATGGGGTGAGTATGGAAGTTAGTTATCTCCTTCCACCAAGTGGATCCCAGGAGTTGAACTCAGATCATCAGACGTGGTGGCAAGTGCATTTACCCACTAAATCATTTCACTGGCTTCAATTTCTTACCTTCTTTCAGGATTCATTTAATTGTATGTGTGTGTGAGAGAAGAGTGCATGTTGTAGGTGCCCACAAAGGCCAAAAGAGAGTGTTGGATCACTTTAAGCTGAAGTTACAAGTCAGTATGGGTTGGCCAGTAGGGGTGCGTGAGCATTAAGCACTTTTTAAAAAATTAATTTATCTTTATTTATATGCATTGGTGTTTTGTCTTCATGTATGTCTGTATGAGGGTGTCAGGTTCCCTTGAACTGGAGTTATAGACAGTTGTGAGCTGCCATGTGGGTTCTGGGGATTGAATCTGGGCCCTCTAGAAGAACAGTCAATACTCTTAACCACTGAGCCACCTCTCCAGCTTCACTTTTTTTTTTTCTTAAAGAGAAACAATATAAATCATGTAAATCATGTTTAAAAAAAAATAGCTATTATTGAAGTACTGAACCTGAAATTCTAACACTTGAGAAGTATATACTTCTTGACCTTGTCAAGATAAATAGATTAGATAGATAGATAGATAGATAGATAGATAGATAGATAGATAGATAGGGAAGGAGGGAGGGAGGGAGGGAGGGAGGGAGATAAAATCAGGGCTGGTCTGTGGCTGAATGAATGGAGAATACTTGTCTCCTGTGCACAAAGCCCTGAGTCTATCCCAGGCTCCAGGGGAGAAATGCTGTTCTGTTGAGTGTGGAGATTGGTATGCAAAGGTAGAATCCATGGGCTGGATGGGCCAGAGAGCTGGCCCAGTGCATAGAACCTCCAGCTACTCTTGCAGAGCCTGGACTCAGTTCCTAGTGCCCAGATGGCAGTTCACCACCACCTGTACCTAAAGCTTACAACTGAATTCTGCAGACACAAGCACATAAGTAGTCCACAGACACAAATGTGGGCAAAAACATCCCCATACACATAAAATAAATACATCTGAAATTTAAAAAGCTTTTTAAAGAGTGTAATCCTGCCATTTAAAAACTCTCCAAACAAAGGACAGCATTATATTTCCTACCTGAACTCCCAAGACAGGACCAGCACGCCTCAAGGTGCCGTCTATGGATAAAGGCCTAGATGTGTTAGCCATTTGGCTCTTAGATGCCCTTTTGGTAGTCTTTAAGAAAGAAAAAAACAACAAAAACCAGCCTGAGTTGAAAATTTTCCAGCTCCATCACAGAGTGGATAAGAGCCAGCTTTAGTGTTGTCACACCTGTATGAATCTAAAGGGCTGGGAAAGGACAGTCTGTGCAAAAATGTGGCTCCAACAGCCACAGCTGTGCTGGCCCCGCCCTTTCCTGGAGGGAGTTTTCTGTATGGTGCTTCAGTTAAACCTTATAGGGGAATGGTGTCACGGCCTTTTTGCTGTGTGGTTGCAATGGTACTCTGGGAAAGAGACATCTGCTTACACACTCTTAGATCCCATTCAAATTATGCGAAAGTGTGTGTGTGTGTGTGTGTGTGTGTGTGTGTGTGTGTGTATGTATGTAGTGGTATGTATATGTATGTGTGCCTGTGTGTGTGTGGTGGTGTGTGTGTTAGTATGGGTGTGTGTGGTGTTGGTCTGTGTGGTGCTATATATACGTGTGTGCCTGTATGGGTTGGTGGTATGTGTGTAGTGTATGTTTGTGATGTGTGTAGTAGTGTATGGATGGGATGTGTGTGATGTGTGTGTTTTGTGTGTTTAATGGTATAAAAGCTTAGGAGTAAGAAGACCACAGGGAGGGAGGGTAGGTTGGGAAGCAAAGATGAAGGACAAGGACTTCACAGACTCATGGAAGCCAACCAGTAATTGATAATACAACAGGAGAGCCTCACTGCCCAGAGTGTCCCCAGAGTCCCTCAAAGCTCAGGAATGGCCAATGTCCCAAACCTTTGGGAATCAGAATAAAGGTGCGCTTCAGACCTGGAGTTCAAGGTCATCCTCCATCACGTAGCAAGTTTGAGGACCAGCCTAGTATACTTGAGACTCTTGTCTCAAAAAATCAGAAAGGAATAAAGTGAGGGACCAAGATCCAGGAAGGCTGAAAGTGGCTGGGTAGCCTGATGCCCAGAGCTGTCCCCAGCCTGTCAAGGAACTGGAGCCCTAAGATTCTCACATGTGTAAAGCAGTCCCTTTGGTGTGGGTGGGTGTGCTTTTGTCCTCTGTGCCAGAGTGCTTACTTAACTCAGGACTGCAGTTATGGCAGAGGACTAGAACAGATTTCTCTGGGGAATCTGACAAGACCAGTGAAAGACTTGGAGATACTGGGACGGGAAGGGGGTGTGTGTGCCTGAACCATGTACTCAGCCAGAACAGCCTGCCACGTGACTTGGTGTCCACGCCCTAACAGCTGACCGACTTCCCACTCCAATGCTTAGCAACATACTACTGAAATAGATACAGAAACAAGTGAAGGGAAGCCTTGTCACCAGGTGACACCTCACCCTAAACATTCCAGGACCAGAGAATGGTGAGTTTCCAGGCTTGAAAAGCCCGCTGAACAGCCACCACAGGGTTGGAAGTAGATTCCCAGCAAGGCAACACCATTTGCAATTCTTGAACAAAGAGCAAGCTCTTCTACTTCCAAAAAGAAGTTACTGGCCACCTACAAAGCCATGTATTTGAAAGGCACCAGCCACTTTCAGCACCACAGCCTAAAAGGTGGCAGACAACTATATATGGGAACTTGTCTACAATGCTGTAGCTCAATCAACCACTGTGAACAAAGTGAGAGAAACAGAAACCATCAGATACACTAGGTTTCAAAAGCATATACTTTCCGCCATCTTGGTAGTTGTCATTTTTCCAGACAGGTCTTCTCTGTGTTGTAACCCTGGCCATCCTGGAACTCACTTTGTAGACCAGGCTGGCCTCCAACTCACAGAGATCTTCCTGCCTCTGCCTCCTGAGTGCTGGGATTAAAGGTGTGCACTACCACACTTCCCCACATCTTTTTAAAAGTTTTAAATGTGTTTTGTTGTTGGTGTGTGTGTTTGAGTGTTTTGCTTGCATGTAGCTCTGTGTGCCACATGCATACCATAAAGGCTAGAAGAGCACATTGGATCTATGAGACTGAAGCTACAGACAGTTTTGAGCTGTGGGTGCTGGGACTAAAGTTGAGTCCTTTGCAAGAGTAGCCTGCTTTAACCACTGAGCCATCTCTCTGCCCCCACCCTCCTTAAGGAAGTCATTGGAGAATCTGCACTATAGTGAGTGAGAAGAGGAAACTAGGACTTTCAAAAATGAGATTAGTTCTACGTGCAGGGTGAAGGTCATCCAGTGGCACTGTTGAAAGATCTGTCACAGCAAGTGCAGAAGGACGGCACAGTGCTGAACCAGGAGTAATTCCATGTAAAACCGAGGTGACAGAAGATAAGAACAGCTCCAAAAAACAGCATCACCTTCCACACTCCTCAACTATGACAGATGTTTATGGTATCTTCAGATTAATACCAATCATTGCCCTAAGTCCAGTTATGGCAAGTAACTGGGAGACTATAGGACAAGAAGGGGCATGAGGCAGTGGGGAAAAATGTAGTGGCCTACCTCATCTAGAGTGAATTCATAGAAGAGATAACCAGAAGCAGGTTATGGGATGAGCTCCTTGGCTGTGAACAAGTGCAGATGCCAAGGCAGATTGTCAGAGGTCAGAAGTTCTGGTACAATAAGAGTTGGGGGGGGGGGGTCTGTGCTGTTTAGACTTCATTCTGGTCCCCATTGTCTTGTAAGCTTGAGTACCAGAAGCCCACATGCATTTGGGGAGGGTCCCTTACAGCAGTCCCCTCTACTCTTTCTCCTGTTGATGGTTTCACATTGTAGCTTCAGCACTGAACCACCTGCTCCCACCAAGCTACAAACCCTTCTGAGGAGCTGAAGGAATCAGAATCCTAATGCGTGGCTGAGCTGCCTTTCTCTTCCCTACCTAGATTATCCTCTGGACTTGAACCACAGTGAAGCCTTCCCTCCAACCACAACATTTCTTCCTGAAGATTTCACCTACTTTGCCAACCACCCTTGCCCAGAGAGGCTCCCTTCCATGAGTAAGTAGATCCATCCTGGAAGGGGGAGTGTGACCAGGTGGCCTCCCTGCCTGTTTGGATTGTGAAATGGCTCCCTGCCCTGGGAGTTGGGGCTGCAGGAATTCCTTGCACACCAACCAGCTCCTCTTCAGCCAAACCTGCTGCAAGTGACCCACATTCTCAGTGGTGCTGTGTCCTGCCCTTTGTGGTGACCTTCATAATGTGCCCTGGAGAGAGTTCTGGCCATCCCTCTGTCATTTTAGTATAAATTGCCCACTGATTTGATACAATAGACCTCTCTACCCATCTTCCTTCTTTTCGGTGTCACACTTTTTCTGTGTCTTACTTGTGTCCCTTCCCCTCTGCCCATCCCACACTTCTTTCCTATTCCACTCTGGCTAGTTGCTAGAGGTTATTTTCTTCTTGGTAGTTTTGTTTGTTTGTCTTTTGAAATAGGGTCCTAGAATTCTCTTTGTAGACTAGGCTGATTTTGAACTCACAGAGATCTACTTGCCTCTACTTGCTCAGTGCTGGGATTAAAGGTATGTGCCACCATGACCTAACAGAAATTATTTTCTTAACAAAATGTTGCTTTAAAAAAATTCAAGCCATGAATAATGGTTGTTAATTCCACTAGTTGAAAATAAGACCACTACCATAGTTTAAATATTGTCCAGGTAGATGGGCTCTGGACAGGTCCATATCCACAGTCCTGGGAAATGGCTTAGAAACATAGTTTGTAGTGGCCTAAGAAGGAAAACCCATAATTCATCACACCCCCCATCAGGTGTAAGTACAGGCTGATGTGGCTTCAGCCTGTGAACCTCTCTCACACGTGATCAAGCACATTGGTGCAGATGGGTCAAACACACTTGTTTAGGGAGTGAAAATGTGTGACTTGTTATCTCCCATAAACAACAGCCTCCAGCATTTCAGGAACTATCTGTCCTTGGATAAGGAGCTTGCAAGTCACAGACATTTTTGTTTCATGGATCTCTTGGGCATAGTGATTAAAATTTAAAATGGAGCTTTGTCTCTCACACTGGCCATACCTTTAATCCCAGCACTAGTACTCCTGGTTGTCTGGAACTAGCTCTAAAGACCAGGCTATCCTGGAACTCACAAAGATCCTTCTGCCTCTTCCTCCCTGAGGGCTGGAATTAAAGGTGTGTACCCCATGCTTGGCTTCCCAGCACTTACTGATTGGATTGTTATGGTTTCAGTTATGGCCTCATGAAAGATGAGTGCTCTGAGTTTGGGCATCATTAGTCAGAGCCCCTACTCACTGGTGGCTGGGGTGACATAGGCAGCTGGCCTTACTTCTGAATGAGCTGCCAGACCTAAGTGTGCCACTCTTCTGTCCCTCAGATGGATTCAGCTGTCACCTCAGAGGCTTTTTTGAAGGGCAAGCAGTTTATTGAGAAGTGAAATTGGAGCTCCCTGAAGCAGGGAGGGTCTTGAAAAAGAGCTGCCACACCTTGGTTGCAAGGGCTTCATTTCTTTCTCTGCCTTGGCAGGAGCCAGCCTCTAAGTTGTTATATAGCATGAATTCTGATTGGTATTAGTAATAAAACTCAGAGTTAGCTATCAGGGGGTGAAAGCTGGAGATGAGAGAAGCGAATTGGCCACTAGAGAGTTCTCACCTCTACCAGTGCTCACTGCCTGCTTCAGACTCCTGCCTCAGACTGCCCAGACTGCCCTGAGCTCCTGTCCCCTCCTGCCTTATTTTCCTCTCTCTACCCAGCCATACCCCTTCCTGTCTCCACCTCCTTCATGCTGGAATTAAAGGCGTGTCACTCCAAGTGCTGGGATCACCTTTGTGTGAGCTGTTTCTCTTTTAGACTGGATCATTTTCATGTAGCCCAGGGTGGCCTTGAATTAATAAGTGATCTGTCTGCCTCTGTCTCTGAGTGCTAGGATTAAAGGTGTGTGCCACCACTACTTGGCTTCTATGACTAACTAGTGTGATTCTACAGTCTGATCTTCAGGCAAGCTTTATTTGTTAGATCATAAATAAAATGTCACCACAGTGTTGTCCCTTTGGTACACTTTGTCAGATGGAAGTGACACACTAAAGGGCAGAGAGATGGAAAGCACAGGGCTAGGGCTCCGCCTGGGAAACTCTTAATTATTTTCCTCCCTCTCTGTCCAGAGGGCCCAATAGACATAAACATGAGTGAGATCAGAATGGACGATATTCACGAGCTCTTCTCCAGAGACCCAGCCATTAAGCTTGGAGGCCACTGGAAGCCTTCGGACTGTGTGCCTCGATGGAAGGTAGGCTGTGTGTCAGACCCCAGGTGTTTAGAAACGCATCTGGGATTGCTGGGATTCAAGAGCTGTGACATCCGGGAAATTGCGCTCTGCCTTGTCATTTTTGAGAAATAGGTTTCCCCAAGGACTCTTCCTGCAGTCATAGAGATTGGCAGCACCCTGTTGGTGTGTGGTGGCACTGAACCCCTTTGTTCCCAGGCAGGATTATTTACAGGAGGTGGGATCGGTAGGTCAGCTGACACATTTGTGGGCTGTGTCTCTGAAGAGCCAGTGTTTCCTGTCTGGTCTCCCAAGTTACTGGAAGATAAGTGGACTGGAGTGCAGTTATCTAGCTGGACCCTTGGGCCTTTGTAGGATGACTGTAGTCAGGATGGGAGACAGAAGCTTAAGGGCATCCTTTGACCAAGTGTTTAATAAAGGGCTTGGGTGTTGCTGACCCTGTGAGGCAGGGACCATGACATAAGCCACGGGACCATCTTAGTGTACAGTGGCAAGTGTCCACAGATGCCCAGTGTGGAATGAACTGTGTGCAGCATTGAGGAGCATGGCTCATTTTGTATTTACATGCCTCTAGAGGGACCTTTGTGCTGGACCACCAGGGTATATACGCCTCCTAGAGCTGTAGTCTAAATAGGATCCAGTTAGTTCCAGGGTGGCCTTGCTTGCACAGGTCAGCATTAGAGGATATCAAGGGGCCTCAGCATTCCCTGAGGGTTTCTCGTCTATGCATACCCAACTGTGTAGCAATGCAGAGAGCTAACTGGGCAGCTAGGGCCAGCAGCTAACTTGTGACTCCCTACCCTGTGATCCACTGCAGGTGGCCATCCTCATCCCCTTCCGGAACCGCCATGAACATCTCCCGGTCCTCCTGCGACACCTGCTCCCCATGCTTCAGCGCCAGCGCCTGCAGTTTGCTTTCTATGTAGTTGAGCAAGTAAGTGGCCCTAGTTCCCTTCTCTCTCTTCTGAGTCCACAATCTGGAAAGTTGCAAGTGACATTGTCTTCAGTGTAAAGAGCCCAGGGTGGTGCTGCCTTAAGGAGGTTTTCTCACAATGAGCACCAAAGCTTCCTCTGGGCTTGGTGACACAAGCCTTTAATCCCAGCACTCAGGAGGCAGAGTTAAGTGGATCTCTGAGTTGAAGGCCAGCCTGGTCTACAAAGCCAGTTCCGGGACAGCTAGGGCTGTTACATAGAGAAACCCTACCCTGTGTTGAAAAACCAAAAAGAAAAGTTTCTCTTCCTAGATACGTCTAGGTCTGTGTCAAGTTGACAAACATCAAAACCAACCAGCACCTGTCCTGGGTGTGTGTTTTGGTACTGGCTGGAGAAGTGAAGGTTAACGGGTAGTTCAACTAGGCCATAACTAGTATGAACTGGTCTCTCTACTTGCTACAAAAATTGTAACCCTTAGACATTAGTCCCTGAAAACTCATGACTGTTCTAGTGGTACTTTCATAATAAACAAGCTGAGACCAGCAGATGAGCACATCTTCTTCACCAGATGTGTTTAGATTGGCGACATGCTGGCGATGATGATGGGCAATGTAAGTAGCGTAGACTGAGACTTGGTAGCACCCAGCCTTTCCTCTCTTACCCTGTGCTGGGGGCCTCTGTTTCTGCTGCGTGTGTGTCAATGCAGTGCTTTCTGAAGAAACAAGACAGGGTCCAGTGGGCTCTCCGGGAGACTGTGGGCTGAATGGTGCTGCAGACTCTGGGCTTACTGGTCTGTACATTTGGCTCCTAGGAGCACTTTTGGTGTGCAGTGAAGGCAGTAAGGTCTTTGCTTCAAGATCCTTTGTTCTTTCAGGTTGGCACCCAGCCCTTTAACCGAGCCATGCTTTTCAATGTCGGCTTTCTAGAAGCCATGAAGGACTTGGACTGGGATTGCCTGATCTTTCATGATGTGGATCATATCCCTGAGAGCGACCGCAACTACTATGGCTGTGGACAGATGCCCAGGCACTTCGCAACTAAACTGGACAAATACATGTACCTGTGAGTGTCTCCTCCTCCTGAAGGCCAGTGGCAGAAATGAGATGCAGCTGGCTGTGACTGGCTATGTCAGCTGATGGGTGGCTTGCAGAGTGTGTAGGAGGAGTTCAGCAGTGAGCAGGCATGCCAAGTGTCACCATCTTGTTCACTGTGGAAAGTGTCCAGAGAAGGTGGGGCTGTGAGGGTGGAAAGTAGGTTAGTAGTGTGACTGGTGTGTGTGTGGGGGGGGGGGGGCGACAGGCACTCGTGGTGATGGAGTAACTGGACACTGATCGTGGCCATGGTTGTACAACCCAGTGAGTACACACTGAGTAAATTCTGTGTTCTGTCACTCACTGCACAATAAAGTTGGTGCTAGGAGCCTGAAGTGGTGCTCAGTCCTCTTGCTTGGCTGAGTGAGGTTTCATCCCTGCAGTGCAGGAAAACAGACAAATTCGTTACAAGAAATTCAACTCTAGATCTAACTAGGCTCCTGTCCTTCCTTCAGGCTTCCTTATGCAGAGTTTTTTGGTGGAGTGAGTGGCCTGACTGTAGAACAGTTTCAGAAAATCAATGGCTTTCCTAATGCCTTCTGGGGCTGGGGCGGAGAAGATGACGACCTGTGGAACAGGTATGTATCCTTATCCTGCCCTCACCCCAGCCACGCCATCGTGTCTCAGACAAGGAGCTACCTGTGTCACCCAGTACCCCTGCAGCCACATTGGAAAGAACTATGTGAAAGACCCCATTCCAGCTCGCTGTCAGTCTGAGGCTGGTAGGTGTGTCCCCCACCACCAGCTCTGCACTCTTGTCCCAGCTTCCCCTTGTGAGCACCCACAGCACCGCAGCTCCACCACCCTTCCCGCCGCATTTTAGGAGCCGCTGCCTTGCTTTCTTTCGTGAGGGAGATGAATATTGGGAGTCATGACTATTTAGAGTTTGTTTTAAAAATTATATAGTTATAACACTAAATAACAAAGAAAAACCCTTCTAACCAAACTATAAAAAACCTTTACTTTCTACTAAGGCAACTATTCTCATTTTCTCCTTTGACATGTAAAAATAAACTTAAATGACAGCTTAACAATCTTTTATAATAATGTACGGGGGCTGGAGAGATGATTCAGCATTAAGCGCACCTATTGCTCTTTCAGAGGACCTAAGTTTGGTTCCCAGTACACACACTGGGCTACTCACAGCTGTCTGTAACTCTAGCTCTAGAGGATTCTGTGTCCTCTGTAGGCATCTGTACTCACCTGCACATACCCACACACAGACATACAAACATACACACATAAAAATGTAAAGATTAATTTGGGGCCAGAGAGATGACTTGCTGGTTTAGAACACTTGGTTGGTGCTCTTACTGAGGGCCTGGGTTCAGTTCCCAGCACCCACATGGCAGCTCACAGCTGTCTATTATAACTATAATTCCAAGGGATTCGATGCCCTCTTCTGACTTCCAAAGGCACCAGTCTTGCACTAGGTGCTTATACATACCATAAAGTAAAAAAAAAAAAAAAAGTTTTCAATACTTAAATATTAGAAAGAAAGAAAATAATAACTGGGTGTGGTGTCTCCTCAGACCTATGATGTCAGCACTTGGGAGGCTGTGAGGAAGAAGGTTTTTTGACTTCAAAGTCAGTCTAGGCTACCTAGTGAGACTTCCTTCATAGAACAGGGGAAGGAAGAAGTATGTGCATTGTAAAATTCATATGTGAATAAAAATAAATTGCCCCAGTCTTCATACCCCAAAAAACATTGTCATCATTTTAGTTTGTCTTTCAAACATCAGATGAGTAGCAGCAGTTGCCTCAGGCTCAGCTAAGTGTCCCTACTTGGGCCCAGGTGATATAAGTGTTAGAAACACACGGTGTCTTTGTGTGGGATGCCATCTGAAACTTACACAGTTTCCTGCTGGCATGGTTAGCCTTCAGTGTTCCCATGCATGCAGATGGTATCTTAGTAGATTGTCTCATTTGCACTGGAACATAGGAAAAGGTCTTAGAAATGAATTTGGTCAGAATGTGATGTGTTTGTTAGAGCTCTTGAGCCATGTTATAACAATGTTTCCCATATTCCCTGTGGCTTTATGTGCACTGTGTGCCCATGTCAGGGGAACCTCCCCAAGCTGAGGGGTAGAGTCCCTGGTGAGCTGTTCCCAGATATGTCCCTGCAGTCTGCAGCTGCTTGTGGGTGGGGACTTGAGATAGGTGTTGGGGTCCTCCTCAGTACCTCTCCACCTTGTGTTTTCAGACAGGGCCCTTCACTGAAGCTGGAGCTCATGGACTCGGCTAAGCTGGCTAGCACTGAACTCCAGGGTCAGCTGTCCCTCCTCTTCTCCCTCTTCTCCCCCGCCCAGTGCTGGAGTAATAGACACACAACACTGTGATCAGCTCTTACATGGGTTCTTGTAGATCCAAACTCGAGTCCTCATGCTTACATGGTTGGCACTTTATCAGCTGAGCCATCTCCCCAGCCCCTAAGATATCATTTTCAATAGCAATGACATGGTCTTGCCAAGACAGAAATGCTAGTTAATCTTCTGCTGGTGGGCATTCTATGGGGGTATGCCCTGCTTTGTTCACATGTGTGGGCATCTCTCCAGGTTAATTAAATGCCTAGTGTGACTACACAGTCAAGAAACACATATGACAGCTGCTGGGGTGTAGCTCAGGGATGGAGCACTTTCCGGTGCACTAGCTGACTATGAGACGCACACACACGCGCGCACACACACACACACACACACAGAGAGAGAGCACAGAGCACAGAGCCTGGGTGATAGCTCAATTGTTAAAACCATGTTTTTGGGGGGGGTTTTGTTGTTGTTGTTGTTTTTAAAGCTGGGACTAGTGACTGTATTATTTACTTTTTTATAATATTTTTTATTTAAATTTGAAACAAGCTTGTCTTACATGTATTAGTTACTTTTTCTGTTGCTGTGATAAAACACCATGACTAAGGCAACTTATAGAAGGAAGAGTTTATTTGGGCTTATGGTTCCAGAGGGGTAGGTGTCCATCATGGTAGGGAGGCAGTAGGCATGGTAGCTGGAGCAGGCTGCCGAGAGCACACATCCTCAACCTCAAGCATGAAGCAGAGAGAGCAAACTGGAAGTGGGTTTAAACTCAAGGCCCACTTCCAGTGACTGACTCCTTCCAGAAAGACCACACCTTTTAAGCCTCCCCAAGCTGCACTGCTAACTGGGGACCAAGTGTTCAAATAATGGAACCTATGGGACACATTTTCATTCAAAGCACCATATTAGCACACACCACTAATCCCAGCCCCGGGGAGGTAGAGGCAGGAAGATTTATGTGAGTTCCAGGTCAGACAGGTCTATACAGGGAGTTCCAGGCTAGTCAAAGTTACACAGTAAGACCTTGTCTCAAAAAAAGTTGTTGGTCTCAGTACCACATGCCTGTAATCCCAACAGTGGGAAAGTGAAGCCAGCGGACCCCCAGGCCAGCCACAGCCCAGCCCATGTGGTGAGCTCCAGGCCACCTTTCTAAAATGAGGGCTCACAGGGCCTGAGGAGTGACATGCAGGGTTTTCACCTAACCTCTCCAAGCACATGTGCGTGCGCTCGCGCGCGCGCGCGCACACACACACACACACACACACACACACACACACACACACACGAAGTGTTAGCTGGTTAAAATAAACATCACATCAGTTGGATGAATGAGAAGGTGCTTGGATGTTGTTGGAGAGGCTGTAAGCTGTCTTAGAGTTTACTAGTCTCTGGGTCTTCAGCATCTCACTGCTGTCCCTTTGGTTTTGGATAGGGTACAAAATGCAGGCTATTCTGTGAGTCGGCCAGAAGGGGACACAGGAAAATACAAGTCCATTCCTCACCACCATCGAGGAGAAGTCCAGTTTCTTGGAAGGTTGGTATCATTTATGTTGGCGCACCACCCCTCTGCCTCTGGTGCGACTAGGCATCATGGGTATCTGTTGAGATTAACCAAGGTAGGCAGACATTTTGGCTGACCAATGGTGAGGTTTAGATATTGGGTCTCCCATGCAGCTTGAGAGTTGGGGTCACACTCTGCTGACCCCTGCACTGTGAAGGTGTCTCCAAGGGAGAGACAGAGCTCTAAACTTGGCTGCTTTTTGTTCCCTCCTCTAATCTCTTTTCCGGGCTTCTCCACTCTTGAGCCTGCATTTCCTTTGGCCTCTGAGGCATTAGGTGAGATACTGGGATGCTGGCTCTGAGTCCCTCTCTGTCCTTGGCTTCCCAGGTATGCTCTTCTGAGGAAGTCAAAGGAGCGGCAAGGACTGGATGGCCTCAACAACCTGAACTACTTTGCAAACATCACATATGACGCCTTGTATAAAAACATAACTGTCAACTTGACACCCGAGCTGGCTCAGGTGACTGAGTACTGAGATGCGGAGAGAAGCCGCATCCGCCTACCCACCACCCCCTCAAAAGCGCTGTGATGCGCCATCCTGAGGTCAACCCAGCACGAGGACAGAAAGAGCGTGGAGTACAGAACCGTAGGGTTCCAGAAAACTGTCACAGAGCACACGCACAAAGGCCTTCGCTGTAGGCCCAAACAGGGACAGGCGGCTTGGGGACACCTCTCATCAGCACTGGCTTCATTCTACAAGACAGATGTCTGCCCTGCTGCCCTCTTCCGTCCCCACCCTAGGGCCAGCCTAGGTGCCCTCAGATGGATGGCCAAGCCCAGAGGCCACCCTGGCTTGAAGCAGGAGGACCGCAAACAGTTCTCTGAATCTCTTTTCTTTTTTGTTTTTGTTTTGTTTTGGGGGATTTTTTTCCTTTTTTCTTTCTTTCTTTCTTTTTTTTTTTTTTTTTTTTTTTTTTTTTTTTTTAAAGAAAATTACCTGCATTGGGTGGGAACTAAGGGTGGAGGGGAGGGATCTGGGGTGATAGACACATAACAGTCACTTCTTAAAGAAGTGTAATTGTAAATAAGCCATGTAAAATGCCTTTTTAAAATTTAATTTTATAGCTGGCTCCACTTCAAAGTGAGGGCTTCATATATTAGATCACATTGGGTGGCAAACTTAACTGAGTTACCATGCAGTTGAGGATCGAGTGTCATCTCCCAGATTCCTGTCATTTGGTGACATGGGGCAGAGAAAAGAACTCTCACTACAGCTCCTCTTTCCTGCTTCCCTAACAGAGACTCAACAGCTAAGCAGGGACTGCTCTTAGAGCACAGTGTCCTCCTCTCTTACAGACCCCTCAATGCTGGGGTGTGTGACGGTTGGGAGACAGGGGCGCAGGCTATCACTCCAGTGTGGAAGGCAGAGGCTGGAGAACAGGAAGTTTGAGACCAGTGTGGGTTACCTAGCAAGTTCCAGGCCCACCTGTGTTGTGTAGCAGGGTCCCCGCGGACCCCAGCTCTCTGAACTTTGTTTTTGTTCCTTCAACATCTCAGAGTGGTTGTTGGGTGACACTCCACTTTCTTTGGAACTTGGCCAGTTTCTCAGAGCTGTGCCTGTGTGACCAGCTGGCTTCAGTGGTTTCTCTGTTTCCGTTTTTGGTTTCTCAGAAGACACTGTGTTGTGCTAATAAGCAATTGATTGGGAAAGGCTCCACCAAGGAGCAGATGGCATTGGGATGCAGTGTGCCAGCCGGGGTCCAGGTGAGATCTCACCAGAGCTTTGACAGGCAGCCAGCAGAGGTCCCCCTGCTTCCTACTGAACTCAAAACGGTCCCTGGTCCCTGAGCCCTCCCTTCTTGTGTTTGCTGCGCCCACAGCTGTCTCCACAGCAGGGCTCTGTGTGTGGTGAGGAGTGCTTCCTTCAGGCCTCCAACTTCTGTTCTTTGCCTTTTTGCCTTCAGCACCCTTGATGTTCATGGTTTACATAGGTGGGTGTGGGGTGTGTAAATATATGGGGTTGGGGTTTTTGCATTGCACAAGTTGGTTCTGTGGACATATGATCCCCACAGACTGTGGGAGTGATTGGCCAGGCCTTGTTTTTCTTTTCTTTTTTTTTTTCCTTGTTTTTGTTCTTTTTGTAGAATAGAGTGGTATCTAGGGAGCAGATGGTGTTGCAGAATGCTTCCCGCTCATATGAGAGAGCAGGTGCCTGCCCTTGAGAGCACTAGTGAGCTGCATCATCTGTTTGCACTGGGCAAGGAGCTGCACGGCTGCGTTGACTTGCCTTTGTCTTACGGTACACACAGCAATAAAGATTGTGTCGATCCCCAGTCCTGACCCTCTGCCCTTCTTTTGTTGGTTTTACAGTGCTGGGGATGAAACCCATGGCTTTGGCATGCTAGGCAAGTGTGCTGCCACTGAGCCATGGGCCCAGCCCTCACTCCCCGAATTCTCCTGTTTTTGCACTGAAGGCCAGGCGCTGCTTTCAGTGTGGCAAGCCATGTCCTTTGGAGGGGCTTCCAGGAGGGACAGTGGTGCATGCAGCATGTGTCCCGGTTGGAGCTCTGCGTTCTCACACTTGCCACAGGGTACTGCTTTGGGCCAAAGGCTGATACTTGATTGAAGAAAGAAAATGCCGATTTGGGAACGAAAGAAAAGGTCTTTATACTGCTCAAAGTAGGGTCACTTGTATTCTTTTGCAATCATGTCCAAGTTTGTTTTTAGTGTGGACTCTTAGTGGGCACTGTCAATCATTGTCCACCAAGTCACATGCTAAGTGGGAAATGTCACAGTCAAAACCATACTGACAGGCCACGGGTTAGGCCACGGATGCTTAAGGAAAATGACAACAAGAAGCGAGTATGACCTTGGTGTATTTTGGCAGCTGAGCTTATTCAGTGCTATAGATGATGACCCTTAAACTGACCTTGCCCTTGACTGCCTTGTGTGTGGAGGTTCGCCTTCACACAGGGTCTCCTTCAGGGGAGAGGGGTTTTGCTAAAACGGGGACTCTGTCAGCACTTCCCTTCCTCAGAGGACAGTAGCGGAGCAGCGGCACACATACTGAGTGTACCCACACACCACTGATGAGGCATTGAATGCAGCTAGCTTACTCCATCGTTGCTTTTGTTTATTCGAGCTTGCTCTCTGTTTTAAAAGGTGCCAGGGTACATTTTTGCACTGAAACCTAAAGATGTTTTAAAAACACTTTTCACAGAAATCGTCCTTTGTCATTACATTATTCACTCATGTGTTTGTACATTTTTGTATGTTAATTTATGAATGATTTTTCAGTAAAAAATACATATTCAGGAACCAAACTTTGGTGGTCGTGTCTGTGTAACTGCCTTTCAAGGAAGATTCTCCACCTCTGTAGAACACCACATATAGGTGACAGTTTGGTTCTAGAACATCTCTATGGCCAGTCCTGGATTGCTTTCTACCTGATTCTACTCACAGATTGTAATCACAGATTTTTATCTCTCTCCTCTCTGTCTCTGTCTCTCTCTGTCTCTCTGTCTCTCTCTCTCTCTGTGTATGTGTGTGTGTGTTGTCATTTTCCAGTCTCCTGTAGCCCAGACTGGCCACAAACCTGTTATGTATATGTACTTGAAGATGACTTTGAACTTCTGATAGGTGTTCCCCCACTAAGTTTGGGGGGGGGGGTGATAGAACTCACCGTGCATTCCCGCCCAGCTCTATACCAGTGGAGGATTCCCAGCCCAGTCTTTCTTGCCATTTTATTTCATGATTGCAAATGTTTGCCTGAATATGTGTGCTTGGTGCCCACAGAGGCCAGAAGAGGGCATTGGCTCACCTGGAACTAAAGTTATAGGTGAGCATGAGCCACCATGTAGGTGGTGGGAATTGAACCTAGATCCTCTGCAAGAGTAGCAGTCTATGTTCTTAACCATTGAGCCATCTCTCTATTCCCTCCACCCTCTCATCCCCACCCCTGGAATTTTTTTCTTTACTATAGTGGGCACAGCCCTGCACTTAGGCACTGGGAACAAGACAGGTAAAATAAGAGACCTCTCAAAGCAAGCTGTCTGAGGCTGAGGTGCTGGGAAGCCTGCTCAATCCACAGTATTTGCTGGGAAGAAGGTCCTGGCTAGTGGGAGGAAGCCTAGTGAGGTAGAGTCAGAGAGCTGGGCCAAGTAAGCTGCATGTCCAGAAAGCATCGAGGCTGGGCAGGGCTGTGGGTCAGGGAAGGAGACTGGGCACATCCTGGGAGAATGAAGTTGGGGTATTCGGCAGTCAGGGCTGTATAATGGTAGTATTCCAGTGCAGCTTCTAGGGATGATAGCCGCTGAAGGACCACAGAGAAGCAAAGATGCAAGGCTGGTGCAGGTGTGATGGAGGGAAGAGACTGGGGTGGGGCCCTGGGGAGAGCCCAGCTTCCCACTTGCATGGCACCAATTCCTGTATTGTGTTTATGGGGTTGGAAATCCCATAAACCATGCAAAAATAGCAAGTGGGCAGCTGTATGTATGTGAGGGCATCGGGGAAGGGGCATCCAGGCCCAGTGAATCAATCAGTCCCCCAGATGAGTGAGGTGCGGGAATAGAGAGTTGGGGCAGAGGAGCTGAAAACCAGATTCATGGGGGGATGTGGGCTCACAGAGAACAAGAAGCATAGATCTGGGTGGGGTTTGTGGGGCTGTCAACAGGAAGCGTGGAGCAGGCTGCACTCCTGAAGAGGTGTGGCTGGAGGGACATGGGAGAGGGCAAGTCAGGCATTCCAAGAAGAGCTGGATCCAGTCCAAAAGCAACAGGGGATGAAGGGTAGAAAATGGCAAATTGGTGGTGGGGAAGCCAGGCACTGTGCTCCAAGGAAGGTGGCAGGAAGACCCAGGGGTGCTGGCCCAGGGGAGCCATTTTACTGGCAAATGTGACATCATGAGACAGGCTCTATCCAGTGAACAGAACTGAATTTGTCAGAGTGCATTCCCACCTCTTCTGGCAGAATGGCCTGCACTTGCGAATGTCCTACAATGAGAAAGATGCCCTGGGGGCCCGGGGCCCTGTTTGCAGAACATGCTGTGAAGGGGTCTCCATCCCCCTTCCTCCAGAGAAGCAATTCCCATATCAATTTCACGTTTGACCTTCTCCCAATCTCCTGTGGACTGAGGGTGGGCAGTGGACTGTGCTTCAATATAGGGTGTCCAGCAGCCTCTGCCACTAAGTGCCAACCAAAAATGTCACGGACTTCAAATGACTCAGGAAGCAAATTGCTTTAGGGTAATGAAAGCCAAGAATGCATGCCTTGAGGTCAGAGAGTGGGCTGCAGAGCACTGCCCTAGGGGGAAGCCCTGAAGCCCTGGTAGCTCACAGCTGCTTTTTGTTGTGGGCTCTTAAAAGCTTTTCCAGGCATAGCCTAAAAGTAATTTATTCTAAAAGCAATAAATGAGTTTATGGTTGGGGGCGGGGAGTGTTGAATCCACTCTTTAGTTGTTTGCCTACATATTTACATGTGTGGGGGATAAGTTTATGATTGGTAAAAGGACCTGTGATTGGTCCATTTTGTTTGTGTTTTCTGAGACAGGGTTTTTCTGTATTGCTTTGGAGCCTGTCCTGGGACTTGCTCTATAAACCAGGCTGGATTCGAAATCACAGAAATCTGCCTGTCTCTGCTTCCTGAGTGCTGGGATCAAAGGCATGCATGCGCTGTGGTCCATTTCCTTATAGTTTCACAAATGTCACCTCCCCTGTGAGCCCTGTGTGGACATCCAGGTCACTCCCTTTCCATTTTGGTTTCTCCAGACTCTTCCAGACTCCTCCTTTCATCATAGTTAGGTTTCAAACCCCAGACAACCCGTTGAGATGCCTATTAACATATCAAAGCAGACTCCAGTTACCAGGCTCTCCCAGTACCCCTCAGTCCCGGCCTGATACAGGGCCCTCCAGGCTGCCATGTCCTGGCCCCACCCTAAACTTCTCCATCCAGGGACTGGGCCGGCTTTCCCTACCGAAGCTTATACATAGGAAATATATTCCTATATAACCCAGCCGTCTTCGTCACAGACCCTTTTTGCTTCTTGGTCTCAGTGTCTCCTAGCTCTCCCTTACCCCTTCTCCTTCCTTCACCCTGCTCAGGGTCAGCTTCACTCTGGACTCTTCCAGAAGTCTCTGTTTCTGGCTATGCTCTCCCTCATATCTACAGTAACCCTCCATCATACCTGAGAGCAGACATGGCCTCTTGGTATTTCACTCACACACAAACATTTGCATTGTTTTCCATGGGGTGGGGGCAGTGCAACTAAAGTGTGTCACCAGGAAGGAGGAGCTTCTTTCCTTGCTGGATGGCCAGCCCATAACGCCTCCTGGGTGTGGTGGTACCACAGCAGCCAAGCAGAGGCAGGAGGATCTGAGATCGCAGGCAGCATGGCCTACATCTTCAGTTCCCGGTCAGCTGGAGCTGCATGGTCTCAAAGAGGAAGAAGGAGAGTCTCCCTGCCTCAGACCTCAACTTATTGATGTGCCATCTCCCTTCAGTGGTAACTCTTGGGGGAAGGAAATGTCATTGGTTCTCACTGCTGTCGAGAGCAGGGTCTGAGGGGAGATGCTACTGAATGATGTGGTAAATGAGTGAATGAAATGTCCCTACTAGCTTCCTGTCACTGTTTATTGCATGAACAGACACCGTGACCATGGCAACTCCTATAAAAGAAAGTGCTTTAATTGTCTTGCTTACAGTTTCAGAAGTCAGTAGGTTGGAGCCTTGGGCTTGTCCCTCTCTCTGTTTCTGTCTCTCTGCCTGTCTCTCTCTGTCTCTCTCTCTTTCTCTCTCTCTCTCTCTCTCTGTGTGTGTGTGTCCAAACCCTGCCTGCTCTGAGAGTCTCCGAACAAAGGAAAGATACCAAAAGCACAGTTCCAAATTCTTGGCAACTACTTCCAGCCACCCAAGTGCCTGTCTGACTGCTTTTGACCATACTTGGGCACAAACCCAGCTTGTATCATTGTATCAGACACATCATCATCCCTTGCCTACAGTCTATGAAATCTCCCTGCCTTAGCTCAGGCACATGACTTCTCTGGCCTCATTCTCTGGGGACAGTGAACCTGCCCAGGAGTTGCTTTGGTCTCAATAAACCTGCTGTTAAACTTTTTCAATTAGACTTGACCTGGCTCTCTGCATTGGGGGCAGAAACTTACTATGGGGGCAGAAAACCTGTGAAGTAGAATATCTTACTGTGCCATACTGCAGTGTTGAAGGGCCAGGGTATGGGGGAGCCAGCACTTTCAGGCCCTGGCTTAAAGCAGTGACATCATGACGGTGTAGGAAAGGCCTTTGGTCCCCTTGCTTGCTGTAACTTCAGTAACTCCCCAGC